AAAAAATCTCACAAGGCACCGAAAGAATACTATACCACTGGTTACTGGAAATCTAAAAAACGATTGCTCGTTTTACCATTCATATACAAAGAGCATTCAGATGGACCATTGAGAATCGAAAGAACAGCAAAGAAATAAAGACAGCGGACCGAACTTCTTCAAATGATGCAGTGCGATTTCTCTTCAAGTGTGAAGAATAACAGGAAGCAAAGGCTACCTTTTCGAGGATTTGTTTAGCCCTCATCTAGCTGGTCCATTCCTTATTTTAAAATAAAGGTAAGAAGATAGAATGCCATGGAATCTTCAAAATGAGTAATCATAACGACGTATTCATTTAAGAAAAGAGAAGTACCGAAAGAAATTCAACCCGAAATGCTTCAGAATATCGTGATGGAGCGAGCTAAACGACTGCCACCGAACTAGGAAGAAGCGTTGTTTCATAGAATAGAACTTACTATGATTTCCCTACATCGTTCTTCTAAGGAGTAGCCCGCACTTATACAGCTTTTGTTGAGGCGTCGGGCAGGAGAGCAGTAAAAAATAAGTATGATAACATGAAACTTTCGAACTACTTCGAACCTTGACCCAATCTATTCCCTTTACCCCTTCGAAATAATCCATCCTTTCCTTAGCGACAAAAGACGGCTCTCTTCCGCTCACTTCGCCACACTAACTAGGCTCTCGATCAAATGCCTTCTCGACGTTACGATTACTTGAAACTTGTAGCAAACAAACTACAGCCTTCTCCCCTTTTCAAAGGATTCCAGGCCCAGCCGATCTGCCCAAGTGAATAGAAATGAAAATGAATGTGAGATGAATTCAATCAACGGAGGCCAATGAACTTTTATCGATGCATATGAAGACAGACCTCGCCGGCTATTCAAATTATTACTGAAGAGGCTTTTTAGGCAACATTTTCCACTGCTCGCAACTTTCAATTCGCAAATGCTGTCCAACAGCGGAAGTTCAACGTCAATAATAGCGTTTCCCAAGCCGGCATGACTCCAAATTACTTGATGTCAAAGTACTTTGCAACTGCCTCAATTCTTTCTAAAGTGTGGCCTGAAGAAGTCTTCAATTCCACATTTTTTGAGAGAACACAACAAAAGACAATATGAAAGGGGAGGGGAAGGAAAAAAGGACGGTTCCGGAGTTTGCCATGGAAATTCCAAACCATAGATTGTTACTCTATTTGTTTGAAAGCCCGCGTCGAAACGAACCACTCAAGAGTTTGTATTTGTACAACTAGTAACTAAGTCACAAGTTTTTCTATGAAAGTAAAACCAGCGTAATATGGGGTACCAAGTCTACCACTGCATTTGCGCGACCATTGACCTTTTTGGCAAATAGTAGTGGGTAAGAGTAACTGGACAAAAGAACTCTCAACGGAATATTCATGAGCCGCGAGACGTCAAGGACACGAGCAATGCGCGCATTACAAAGAGGCTCTTTTCGGTCAATCTAACGGCAAGGGTTTACTAGCGGAAACTGATTTAGCTGCACTGCTTGTTAGCTAGCCGATGCGCTGGCTATAAAATCAACTCTAAAGCTCTACCAGACAATAAGAAACTAAAAGAGGCAGGATGTTGGGCATAAATTCCAGATGTGCGGCACATAGGGGCCACTGCGTGGGTTGTATGGGTACTGCTGCTAAAGAAACTTAGCACCAACCCAGCGGTTTCCCAAGGGGATGAGAGCGACCAAGAACAAATCATAATCGGAACCATATATCAGGAAGTAGTGTGTATTACCGCATTCTCCCCGTCGGAGCAATAACCACAGCTCCCTAGTGAATCCTCGACAAATGCTGCTCTTCTTTGGTCTTTGAACTCGAAGCAAGATTCCAAAAAAACTTTCTTCAGTGAGGACAGAATCCATCACTTTTCCAGCTGGCAATACTTGACAAAATGGAGTCCCAATAATGTCCTAGTTTGTCACATTTCTGCCCTAAACAGACTGAGGTTGGGGCAAACAAAGCGATGGGCGATGTCTGCAGGGGTTCCAATCAAGTAACAGTCTTTACCGAATTATGGTCTAGAGCGACGGGCTTATTTGTGGGGTACTTTAACTCGTCTATCATGGGAATCATGCAAGTCTTTTAGTCTTCCATAGCATTACTTTCTACAATAATTCTCATGAGAATGAATGAAACAGCCAAAACTGGGCGGTAACTATTGAAAGCGAAAAAAAGCACAAAAAGGCAAAAGAGCCCGGAACCCTATACTTTGCTATTTTTTAAAACCCAACGTAAAATTAATTACATAAAACGGTCAAAGATAATTGTACCTATATTGCTCGAAAAAAAATCCAACATTAAAATGGCAATCAAAAGAAAAAAAATTGGGAAAAGGAGAGCAGTTCAGGATCAGGGCTCGGAACTCGTCTTCTCCAAACCAACCATTGAAATATTCGACAAAATTTTGACTGAAAGTAAGAATTCGTTTTCTGTCAAAAAAAANAAAAAAAAATTATTGGCACTGAAGGAAATAAGTTGGCCATAGAGAAAATAATATAATCTTCGTCTAAATTAGTAAGGAGCCAGAATTCACAGTCATATAATAGCCAGCCTATAAATTTGGACTCCACGAGCTTAAGGAACATTGGATGGTTCAGCGCGCTCTCAAGAATAGAATCGCTTTTTTTCGAACTCCAGAACGGCTATAATTACTCGAGTACCTTCACAGTGGAAAAAGAAGAAGAAGAAAGAACAGTGGTGACATCAAGTGAACTCGAGTGGTTTGCGAAAATTGGTTTCCGATCATAACAATATGTATAAAGAACCAAATGAAGACCTTCACGGCTCAATTCAGAAACTAGTTTCGGTTAACAAGAAATAAGGGTGACGTACTTCCACTCAACGAATTATCGTTAGGAACTTGTCCCCGAAAATGGACTGCTCTCGATCTGTTTTCCGACAAAGAAACATTTCTAAAAGTGCCATTGCGGCATAGCTAGGGTATATTTCATTTGAGTAAGGGAAGTATATGTTGGCTGGGATAGTTCATTACATCCGGAAAACTAATTAGGAGGCAATTCAGGTTAGCACGCAAAGAGCCCCAAAAAGGTACAGCAGTGGATTCCGCAGGGAATTCATTCATAACAAGAACCATAGCTCCAGAGCAATCCCACATAGAACCAGAAAAACCAGCTTTTGTAGAATCAGGCCAAGTATGAATGAAGCTCGGCGAGGTGTAAAGAACGACCAAAGAGAAAAAATCGAATTTGTACCCGTACCAACACTACTGCTTCTACCAAAATGAATGCTAATAGTAAATTTGTACCAAAACGACACCGTTTAGAAGGCTTAGCTTCGACATAAGCGACGTGCTGAGGACATATCGAAAGGTCTATGCGCTGAATAGGGAATGAGAACGACAACTGCACTTTCTGAATATGGTCGAAAAGCTCACTACGGAAGGAAGGGGAGGAATAGAATGAAGGAAATTGGAAAATATGACAAAATTAGTGTGTCCTATTCTGATTAAAGGACCCTACCAAAACGAAATTGAATCGAAAAATTTCCGCACCGGATTTGAAAGGAAGACGACAACTGCACTTTCTGAATATTATGGAAAAGCTCATTGGGTAAGGAAAGGCTTCAACTACGGGAAGGAAATAACCAGAAGGTTAACTTTTCATTATCAGGAACGAAAATACAGCATAGGAACCCATTTCTTACAGTGACCTTACGGTGAAATAAAATGCTATGGATTCACAATTTCACAGACATCACATTCAATTTCACGGCACAACTTTACTTGAGTAAATCCGAACTCGTTAAGTTTACGACGCATTAAAAAAGGACCAGGAGAACTTACCGAAAATGGGTTAAAAGAGATTAAGCTCCAAACTGGATGGAATTGACGACAAGTACATTTCAAGAACATGTTCCAGGAAAGCTTCTCTACAGATGCGGAGACAGGATAGGTGCAAAAAAGGCCTTGAGAGATGAGAAAAAACGTGAGTTGGCAGAAAAAAAATCAAACGAGTTTGTTGAGTATTTCGCAGGGCAACAATAGCCCACGCAGAAGTGACCGTCAACAACCCCACCCCAGTTCAGTTGCAAAGAACCGGACAATGGGGGACGCGGACGGCTGGATGAGCACGAGGGTGTCGAGCGCCGTTGTCCGTTGTCAACAGGGCGGCGCAAGCTCATAGCACCAAGTCTGTGCCAGCCCGGTGCGCAGCGACGGTGTCAGTGTGACAATCGCTGACGTCGTCTTCGTGTAAATTCCGCCGCACGTTTTAGTGAACAAATTATTCTATTTTTTGTCATTGCTCAGAGACTATGTGTCTTTTTTTGTCTCGCTATCGGAATTGGAATTACCTGAGTTTTCCTTTTGCATTACCTTTATTGAAAAACTGGGAAACGTCTTCAGTAAACTTTTATGGATGTATCTAAGGATTTCATTCAACTGGCTTTTTGTTTTCCAATCTTCTATATGTATCCTACTTGGAATCCATTGTTATTTAAATTCAAATCTCTATGGCAAAGAAATGATCATAGTTAGCGCTATTATAAGATCGTAGCGACTTTACCTTCAATGATCATTCTAAGTTCCAAGGAGCTCTTTGATATTTATTTTATTAAACTTTCAGATGTTCCATTATCAAACCTAATAAGTTATTTACTCCTAACATCCTTTCAGACAGTAAACATGAATATTCCTAGCACGTCGAGTTTGGTGAACACAAATGCGGCTTATTTTGAATTTTTAATTTTGTAAAGTGGTTTCGTAAAAGATTAATTGAATATAACCTCAATTTGCTTGGTGAACATTTCATTTCTTATTCATTTCTCTCAAGATGGATACGATATTCTATTTAGTGGCTGCATTTGTTGAGGCGATTTCAGTTTTTTTTTTNTTTTTTTTTTAAATTAATCGTTACTGTCTCTCTACATATGTAACTGCCATGCCTCATTTACTTCTCGCCCTATAGCGCCCTTATTCGAGGCTTTCCCAATTCAATTTAGCCCTCAATTTTAGTAGAAGTCCGGCATGGATCCCGAACTTCTTCGTCAGCGTGCTGCATTTCAAAAGCATGCAGCAAGAACGGTGTCAGTACAACAGCGTTCCCAAATACAGTTGGTACGTTTTTCGTAGAATTTCTTCGCACTACACTCCTCTTATCTCACATGACCACTCCATAAATGTGAGCTTATTTTTGTTGATCGATTTCTTCCTTTAGCCGTCTCCATCAGCTAGTCATACAACTTACAATGCTGAAGCAGCGAAGAAAAAGAAGAAACCAACAGTACAACAAAGTCCTAAGCCAGGTATGAGTCTCAATTTCATGTGAAAATATCCATAACTCAGTTAAGAATTTTTCAGCCCCAGAATTTGACTTCAAAACTACAGTCTCACATAGTAATGCTGCTAACTTTGGTACAATGGCCAAGATAGTGGATTATATGAAGGTTCATGGCTGCAGATTTTCATTTTGATTAAANATTTTCAGTTTTACCTTCAAGTCTGCCTATGTTGAGTTTAAGCAACGTAATGAGGACAAGTAGAAACAGGACTGATAGCATCTTATCGTAACTTGCAACAGGTTCTCATTTTAAGAAACGGCATCTGAGTCAGCAACAGTGGCCGTTGTCTTTGCAAGAAATTTTGGATGAGCTCCAAGTGTACGATTTGCCGAAAAGGTCAGAGGCTTGGTTGAGGGAGGTGAGGTTCTTTCTTCCGGCTCTTCAACGTCCTTTTTTGTTTTTTTTTTTGTTCGTTTCGAGTGATGTCCCTTATGCTGAATTTTCTCCTTGTTTCATTTTACCAGTGATTTGCCATGATAAAGTAGAATCGATGGCTCGCCTTTTTAATTGCTTATTATTATTTTGAGAATAGTTTCCAACCACATAAACATTATGCAAGGAAATTACTGTCAAAGTAGTATTTCAGTTCACCTTAATCCTTCAAATCTATCACTTTTCTCGACTTTTTTTGTTAGTACCTTTGAGCCAACATATCGAGTCTTTGTTAGTTTTCTGTACCGTTTAAAACTTTGTGAACTTATACTTGGAGCTGTTTCAGGCACTTCCGAAAAATCCAAGATTAACGTGCGATGAAGAGTCGAAATTCTGTTACAAACCTCCGTACAAAATAAAGGGCAAGACGTCTTTGGTTCGTTTACAGCTTCTTATACTTACGCTAATGTTCTTTGAAGTTCCGTTAGGGTACTTATGCCATCATTGTGATTAACTTCTCAAAAATGAAAATCGGTGAGAGTGAAGAGGTCTGGGAATGTACAATTTGATCGGGATTCATCTGTTTCCTCACTCCAGTTATTATATGTTACAGCCTCAAAAGGTTTTATTAAACTCCAGATCATTATCAGCAGATCGTTTTGAAGGTGGCAGTGGCCAAAAAGCACCATCAAGACGTACGTGGTGGCATTCTATTGTCGGAACTGAACGATTGTATTCCAAATGGAGAAAAAGTTCTGGAGGTGAGAATTCGTGAGCGATCTTTGCATTAATGTCACAGTATAGTTCCAACCCTGCGACGCCTTGTATCAGGACAGAAATTCTCTGACCTTAATAAGGCTTTTGTTCCTTATAGTTGCCTTATTTTGAATTGCATTCACCTAGCTCGTCGATATTTTCTTCTTTTTTTATGATTGTGTTAAAACAAAGCTGAGTAGGTTTCTAAATATTTTCTTCCTGATCAGTGGATGTTCCTACTTGGTAGTTAACAAATGTCACGCGCTCTAATTTCGTTGCTTATTTGGGAATTGCAAGGCGGTCACATGCTCGCGAAGAGGGAACGATAGTCGGACGTTCTCGTGTGTTTTCGTTTCATGAACCGGTATGGTCATCCATACGTTGCTCATTGCAGTGGTCACTGAATGGAATGCCAATTTGTTGGTTCATTCGATGGGGTCACCTGAATAAAGGCGAAGCGAAACCCTTTTCCTGCACGTTTAATTTAGATTTCGTTTAGCAACCTTTTACCTTTTTTCAGTTGCTAGGCTGCTCCTTTAAGCTGTGTAACAGAATCTAATAACTGTTGTCCACTCACAAGAGACTGTCCGGACACCGAAGG